GCTTCAGGAAAGCATTTCCGACCCCACATTGCTATATGATTTCGAGTCGTCAGGATGCCCCCTACCCCTCTTAGAAGTTCTGAAACGCTTAACTGAGACACCCTGTGTATATATATATATATATATATATATATATATAAAACAACTGATTTAAAAAAAAAAGATTAAATTAAAAAAAGAAAAAAACAGTATAAAACAAAAAAAAAACTATAAAGCGAGTAGCGAAATCAGATGTACTTTCATGAACGTAAAATTTTTCAAGAATGATTTAAAATTTTTTTCGCCACAAGATTGCCAGATTACAAAATATGAAAACAAAAGCGCAAATTGAGTGTAACTAGAGGAATTAAAAGTGCCGTTCCTACTACATTGCTGAAGTGATTTGTTATACTGTGCATTGATTTGCTAGTTACCAAGGATGGGCCCGAAATGGATGTGCGCAAGGTAATATTATACTGGATAATTTGTAACACACACATTATGTATACTAGTGGGTTGCGCCCACTGCTCGCTGACGCTCGCCTACCCCCGAAAATTGTTACGCAATCTTATATGGTTTGCTTCGCAAACCAAGCTCGCTACTAACTTAGGTACATTGCAAATGCACAAAATTCTAAGAATTCAAAACAATCATTCAAATCCATATAAAAACTTTTTTTTAAAAAAAAAATTACATCTCTTGTAAGACCAATAGTAACCGACCTACCCCCGAAGGAGTTTGCGGATAAGGGTTTCACCCGTTTGCACGTGATCTAAACACTACCAAACTACAGAAAAGTAAAAGTACAAAATTAAAAAGATTAAAACACATAGGAAAAATCCCAAAATCGAAAAAGTAAAATAAAAAAAACAGAATAAAAATTAAAAGTGCTTAAAACATCAAAGTGGATAAAATCAACCGACAATAAAAATGTCAAAAATACAGGTAAAAACATATAAATGTAAGGTCAGGTAAAACATCACGTGGTAAAATATGAAAAATCACATTAAAAAACAAATAAGACTAAAATAAGCTTAGTAGAATAAATAAAATAGTTGACTAAAAGTTCAAGTGTCTCCCTTTCAAGGCTAAGTGCCTCTAAGATTAAAAATGTTCTAAGGTAAACCAAAGTTTCACTGAGAGGATAACACTCAAAGATGACACGAGGTAAGACAGCGGGTGCTGAATTTGACCAAGAGCAAGATTTCATTTCGAATGTTCTATGTATAATGAAGATGCCAGTTCAAGGGGAGAATAAAATCATGGAAATGGTAATCATGGTAAGTGCCGAAGTAAAATACTAAAAACAGAAATTCAAAACCAGAAAACCTAAAAGCCGAAAGTTTAAAAATAAAACCAGATAAAATTAGTCAGGTGTACTCGCAGGGGCAAGCAGATCATCCAGGGTATATTTAAGAATTTCGATGATTTTCTCCCTGCAGTCAATATCAGCATAAAGTTGATGTTGAGTGTATTGATCCCATTTTCTGCCACGGATCGTCTGGAATTTGGGACAAAATTTTATGAGATGGTCAATGTCTTGTACTCTGCCACAAAATTTACAATTTGCTCGTTTATTGAAGAATTTCTGTTGATATATTTCAAAAACCCCGTGGCCCGTTAAGAATTGGTTTAAATAGAAGTTTGACTGCAGGCGAGTTAGTGTGGGATCTTTAAAGAAATTATATGTCTGCCTGACCTTTGATGATTCACTCCTATCTATTTTCCATCTATTCATTGTGGTTTGCTTGATGTATCTAATAATGAATGTTCTTTCCACTGGGAGCATCGTTCCCACCCGGCTGAAGCTGGGTGGGAACGATGCTCTCTTGTACTAAGAGAGTACATCTGTACTTGTTACATCTCTTGTAAATACTAAGTCATTAAAATAATTTTGAATTCAAATAAATGACATGTAATTCGTTAAACCTATTAGAAATGTGCTATTGTATAATTCGCGATATAAATCAAAAATCGTCAAATAAATTCGTAATATATAAATTCGTGAAAAAAAAGCGGTTTCGACAAAATACTGAAATAGAGATCTATGGACAAAGACTACTCACTTCTGTCTAGCTTAATAGTATGAGATTGCCGCAGCTGATGCTCTCTGGTTATTTCAGTTTCCGTTTTTAAAAGCGCTATATGTTGAGCCACCTCATCTAGATTTGGCATGTGACATTTTTAGCGGCAATCATTGGTTGATTCACCGTGTAAGAGAAATAGTAACGTAAGCAAAACAAAGCAAACGTTGCCACCGGCGGAAAAGAAATACAGCCAAAATTTTGGAGCCACGTAAGAGAATTATATATATTAGATGTGTATATATATATAATGTGGGTGTGTGTGTTTAAAAATAGAAAACAAAACGAAATTTCGTTGCCTTGCTATAAAATTAAGTATTTTTAAAAAAAAGAATACAGAAGTTTTATTAAAAAAAATACTAATGAGCAAAGATTAGAGGTCAAGTAAATGTAAAGCAAGTAAATTGGTTTATTAGAAATGTCAAGCATATGATAAACACATGCTAATTTTCGGAGGTAAATTATTTCCAAAAAAATGAATTATATTACATCATTTAAGGAATAAAGAAACATCTGATATTTTGCCATCTCTACAAAACATTTTAAATTGGATCTGTCACAGCTATCGTTTTTCATGTTTTCTGAAAAATAAAATAAGAAAGCAATTTTCGGAAAGCAATTGATTTTTTGAATCAATCACTTACGGAATTAATTTCGCTACCTACCTTTGAATGTCAAAATGTATCGTACTGCAATATTCTATTAGCAGGTGGTAAATGTATATATAATCAAAGAAAATCTCACAGACCTTTACACTGAACTTTTTTCTAAAGATTGTTATTGAATAAGCAGATCATTTATTTCAGGTCATTTAAAATGCCAGCAGATAATTTGACTATCACCTCTTACCGAACGAAAAGAGAAACTGATGATGAGGAATACGAAAAAGCTTTAGAGGAAAATGAAGAAAAGAAAAAATTTTGTAAAAAACTTGAATATGCTTCGAAGGTTACAGGTTTAGTCGGTGATCTTTTGGGAGACCTCCCTGATCCAACGAAAGTGTCCTCTGGATTGGCTATGACAACTCACCTTGTGCAAGCAGGGTTTGAAATTACGTCAACAGCTCTCGAATGTGATGATGTCAATTTTGATGAAATTAAATTAATCATGGCGAAACGATTTAGTGACATCGATAAAAAAATTGATGCACAAACGGAAGCATTGGAAGAAGTTTCTCGCAAGGTAAGTGAAACGCTAATTAAGATTGACAGCTTACAAAGCCAGATGCATCGTGGGTTTAAGATTGTAATTGATACCATAGAAAATACAAAAACACAAGAGATTATAACTAAAATAAATACGTCTGCTAAGTACTTTGAAGAAACCAGAGAAAGTCTAAATAAAAAGCATAAAAAGGAATATATCGATGAACTAAGCAGCAAGAACAGTGTGCTGCATACATTAGAAAGTTACTCAGACCCAGTAGACAGTTTGTATTCAGCTTTAAGTGAGCTGATAAATAATAGAAACAACTATGCAATTCCTCAAAACGCGGAAGACAACAAAGCTTTTCAAGCATTGTTTGCTTTGTTTTATGGTACTCAGACATATTTTTTGGTAAAAGTTTTTCTCATGAAACAACACGCTTATATTGCAAACTACAATTACGAAATAGGAAATTTCGATACATTTAACAAGCAGTACGGGCTCATTAAGTCTCTGAGTACAAAGTTCAAAAGTTCACTTCTATCTAATGCAGTTAGAATAATACAACAGGTTAAGAACAAGAATTTCATGAGTGAAGTAAAAAATGAATGGTACAAGGATATTTCTGAAAATATTTTGATCGATTTGAAAAATGATATTGAGGCGATTGACTTAAACTTGATGGATGATGTTCATAGGATAGTTGAAGTAAAAGACGTGGATTTTTCAGCACCTGAAATTACCTCACAGTATGGTGACTGGAAAGATAAAAGAGAAGTTAGCTACGCTGTGCAGTTAAGAAATAAAAATAAGTTTTCTACATTTAGTAGTTGGTCAAAACCAGAAGCAATTGGAAATAAAGCTAATCCAACGATTACAGTTGAACAAGACAACGATGGCAGAGAGAGGTTAATATTCCGAAAATTCGATAAAGGTTCTACTCAATTTGTTGGCGTTGTAAAGAAAACAGAAACAAAATTTAGAGACATTGACAGGGATCTTTATAATGCTGCTGGAAGAGGAAATCAAGACTTAGCTTACAACGAAACTCAACTACTCATTGGAAAAGGAGCTGATATTGATGCAGTTTTTGAACAAGGACGAACTATGATACACGCTGCCGCTTTAAAAGGTAACAGCAAAGTAGCAAGGGATTTTTTCTTCGGCAATATTGACGTTAATAGTAAAGACAGAAAAGGACATACTCCCCTGCATATAGCAGCTGAGTCGGATCAAAAAGAATTCATTCAAGAGCTAATTAATCAGAGTGCAGACGTAAACGCACAAACTAAAACGAATCAGTTTACACCTTTACATATTGCTGCAAGGAGCGGTTTTTTAGAAACGGTTAGAGAATTGATGAAAAGTCCTATAATATCAGTGAATACTGAGGACAAATTTGGATTTACAGCTCTGCATCATGCAACTCACAAGAAAGGTAATGCTAAAATCGTAAGAGAATTGTTTACTAACAATGACACAAACATCAGCGCAAAAACGAAATTAGGCTTGACACCTCTACATTTAGCTTCTATAAATGGATTTCCTAGTATAGTAGACGCTTTACTGAAAACCTCTAAGCTTCAAGATATTAATGAAACAAACGAAGATGGTATGACAGCGCTTCATTTTGCTGCTCTGTATGGAAAATACTTCGTCGTAAAAAAACTTCTTTCAAAAGCAAACATCGGAATAAATAACGTGACCATCAGAAATCAATGGACTCCACTTCATTTTGCAATCTATTTCAAAAATGAAAATGTAGCTTCCCAATTACTGAGTGACGAAAGAACGCAATTCAATTTAGCTGGAGGAAACGGCGTCACTCCTTTGCACCTTGCAATTGCTGCTGGACAATTGCGAACAGCTGAGAATTTGATAAAAAAGGGGGCGGACAAAGAGGCAAAAATAGAAGATGACGGATCCACTGCTTTACACTTATCTATGAAGCGTAGCGAGGCAGACGCATTAGTCTTTTTAATCCAGTATGAGGTGAATTTAAATGCTCAATCAAACGATGGCACAACTGCTTTGCATTTAGCTTGCAAATATCGTAAACTGAATTTTCTTAGCTTCTTACTCGATGCAGATGTAAACGTCAAAATCGTTGACAATAATGGTATTTTGGCTATTCAAACTGCAATTGATAACATGGATACAAATTTCGTGAAGGCGATAGTGGAAAAAAACCCAAGCATTGTCGATCCTTCAACGAAAGAAGGGGTTTATCTTCTCCAATTGATACATGAAAAAATTTTCAGGGTTATGTATCAATACATTAAGAACAAAAGTTCCCCGGAGAATGAAAAAAAATATTATGGTTTAGAACCTCTCGAAGTTTTCAAACAAATGGGAGTGAATGAGCTTTGCAACATTGTATTAAATCCTAATAATGATCCAAATGAAAACAATGATAATTATGAACGTTTTGTGAAGAGTCTTTACGATACTGTTATCCTACCGTGCATTGAGAAAGAAAAAGAAAATACTCCATGCCCCTATAGTGCCCCGTTATCTTCCCGTTTTTCACGCAACATTAAATTTGATGTCAAGCAGGAATACATAGAACAAGTACAACCATTTTCTAAAATTATCCCACAAGCTAAAGTCCCGAACCGAGAAGATTTAAACTCATTTTCTCTTGGGCCATCGATGGACAGAAATTCTTTTTCCAATTCGGCTAAATTTTATCTTCAAAATTTTAATACCAATAATGTATTAGTATTGTTGGATCTAGTTATACGAAAATTTAAAAAGGAAAAGTACTCTTTTTCTTCGGAGCTTGCAAACTCTAGTTCAAAATCTCGTGCTCTAGCATTAAATATCACTGAAAAATTTGAGAAGTTTATAGACACATTGGGGAAAATTCCCACTGAAGAACGAATGAATTTGGCAGAAATAAGTTCGAAAATTTATAAATCACTGGAGAGGGAAAACGATAGCAAAATTGTGGAAATTTTATGCTCTTATGTGGAAGAATATTTGAAGGCTGGGGAAATAACTAATATCATTTCAGCATTACCACCTGACACTTCAAACTTTCAAAAAGAATCTCTTAAAAACGCGCTTCATAATTTAACAACTTCTTGCATCGCAGATCAAGTTTAAGCTTTTGCAATTAGAAGGATTTCCAGTTTTTATAAGCTTTTTTCTATCTGATAGAATTATTTTTCATGTAATTCTTTAAGTTACAGCTTTTAAAAATTTTTGTTTCTTCTGAATTTTGAGGTTGTGGTATATAATCTATAGTTTAAAACTTTATCTTTCATTTACTATACAGAAAAGTTTTAATTAGAGACAGTTACTTATTTTTTACTTTAAAATTTGCTGTTCATTCCTTAAACATTATTTATCTTACGTTTGGTGTAATGGTTAAAGATTCTTTCATTTCACTAATTGTTACCTTTTCATCGTATTAAAATGAAATATAAGAATATATATATATATACTGAAAAGGAAAAAGTTTGTTTAAATACTTAAATGTTTCAGTTATTATTTTTTGTTTTGTTTTAATGGATTAGTTAAAGTTCGGCATCTGAAGATGGGAACATGTGTTAGCATTTTAAGGTGGAGGTGTATGTAGAAATATACATAAAGATTCAATTTTTTTAAAATAAAATTCAATGTTTAAATGCTTAAGAATAGTAAATTCTTTTCAAGGTTATAATTCAGCATAATATATTGTAGCTATTATTGACCAATTCAAATTATAGCCCCTTGTAGCTATTATTTGACTATTATTTTTCTCATTTTAATTTCAGTTGATATTATTTAAATATTCAGCAGTAGTTTCAAATTACATATTTGTTCTAATATCCAACAAAATAAAAAATATTTTTAATTTTATTTAAAAAAAAAAACACTTTGAAATAAAAGTAGATGCAAATTTAAATTTTGAAAATCAGCAAAAATGGGGCTGAGTATGAAAAAAATTTATGTACTTTATAACTTGTATTTAAACAAATTTTTTTATTACGCGTACTTTCTGAGGAAAAAGAAAAATAATAAAATTTATTAAGTAAATTATAAAGTAAAGTAATATAACGATATAATCTATATAATCAGTAATTAAGAATTTTTTTAAAGTGAAATTTTTTTAAATAATATCATTTTTACTTTAATTATTTTTTAAAATCCTGATTAGTTTTGAAATTATACTTTATGATTTTCGTGGGAGTTCTCATTATTTTTCTTTTTTCTACAAATGAAAAAACTTTTTGAAAAAGTTAAAAATTTTAAAATATTTTTCTTGCTTATGTTTCTGATTGATATCTTATTTTTTATGCACATATATGTGTTGCTTTAACAATTCAGTATGTAATAACATCACTTATAATTTTTATAAATGGTATTTAAGTATACAGATAAATCTGCAATATTATAGTAACGATGGATTAATATAATATATCATTATATATTATTAAAAAATATAGCTCGTCATCAGTCAATGCTTAGCCATTCTAAAATTTAATTTTTATAGATATTTGCTTCAGTATAGTTGCACAAGTGATATTGGCATGCAACACGTCATCAATTAATACACAGCCAGTAAGAAGCTTCAGTGACGTAGTATTTTCTGGTGGGATTGTAATATATCCAAGAAATTGACATGTACCGCGTCATCTAGGAATGAAATGCCATTCCAAAGATTTAGTGGCGTAACTCTCTCTATGGTGTTGTTGCTCTTCAAGGACATTTGCACTCATCGCGTCATCAGTCCATGAATTGCCATTCTAAAGTTTCAGTGGTGTAGTTCTTTATGGTACTGCTGCTGTTCAAGGACCTTAACACGCATCACGTCATCAGTCCATGAATTGCCATTTCAAAGACTCAGTGGTGCAATTCCTTATGGTATAGTTGCACTTCAAGGACATTAATCCAAGTTTAAAAATTCGCAATCAAAGGTTGATGATTTAAAATTTAAGGTATGACATATAAGAAACTGATTGTAATTTATAATTGATTTTAAATTCTTTTAATATTTTATGACATATTTTGTTTAATTGGTTCGTTACAGGCTGAATCGCGATGTGTAACTAAAATTCCTTTTTAGATGAAAAAAATCTCTTAGAAATGCGAGTCTATCCTCAATGATAATAAACATAAGTAGTTTTAAATTCTTGAAAGATTAATGTCAATATAACATTAATACAACTTAAATATAACATTTAAGACCTGGTTTCTTCGGAAACGTCGGCGTCAACTTGAAACGAACGTTTACCTCTGATTGGCCAATTTATGAGTTTGACAGCATACGTCATCGAACGCTCAGCTTGAACGACGACTGCCGTCCAAATCAACTGCAGTTGGATTACAACGTGACGTTATCAACAGAAGCAATGGAGGACAACAGCCAACAACAGAGCATTGAAATCAGCCAAGATTTTAATTTTAACATCAAACATAGCTTCTTTTTCCTCTTCTTCTTCATTTAGCTGAGCTATAATGTGTTTTTTCTTGGACAAAGTGATTATTTGTTCTTTAAAGCACTGGTCGACAATCACAAAATCGATACAAATTCAAAATAAATATTTGCTTACGTTATTAACGCATGCGCAATGCGAGATAATGTCTGTGTTGGACCAACTGCTCACGCTGAGCTAACATATATTAATATACATTATATTATAATAAAATTATATCTTCACGCTGACGCCCAGTTGAGACGCCTCTCCTAAGAAACCAGGCCTTGAGCTAACAAACCAGTATTTTGTTGGCATCAGGGTAACGTCAACTTAACGCTGACGCCCAGATAAGGCGCCTGTCCTAAGAAACTAGGCCTTAACCTGTACTACATCGACAGAGAATGCATTCTAATTTTACATTTTCATGCTTAAATTTCTTAAAAAATATTTTTCGCCTTTTTTCTCAAACAAGACATTTAATAGGAATTTATTTTAAGAAAATTTTATTTTCAACAGTGGAACCTTTGAAATATATATAATACACGATGAATCATTAATAAAATATCTAATTTGAGAGTGAATAACAAATTCCTGAGATTTAGATTGTTGCAAAATTTAACATTAATATTTGGTGACTTGTAAATTAAATTTGAATTTTTTAACAAGGAAAAAACCCAATGAGTTTTTTCAAAGAATTGGATGCTTTCTAGAACAGCTGACTTACAATTTAAAATTGTTACGTGTTTTTTGCAACTTGCAACTTCATATTCGTAATTTTTTTAAATTTAAATTAGTTAACAATGTTATAAAATTGTTACATTTATTATTATTACTTATTATATGCAATATATAATGTCAGTCTTTGAAAACAAAAATGCATCGCATATTTTAAAATTATTCTGTAAAAAGTTATATGATGTTACATATTTATGCAATATATTTTGATTTAGAATTATTCTATTATTGTCTGAAATCTTTAAATTTTGAAATAATGATTTAAGTCTAAGACTTTCTTTAAATTATATTTTCCCGATTTTTTTAAATTCTTAAATCGATTTTTTTAAACGCTTAAATTCTTAAAATGTTATGCTATATGTTGTTATTCATGAGGTTAAGGTCATTTAATCATTTATTGTTTTGATTGCCTTTTTGGATTTTATTTTTTTGCTTAAATTCTAAAGATGTTATGCTATATGTAGTTATTCATAAGGTTGTTTGTAAGTATGCTTGTAAAAAATCTTTTCATGCAATATTTCGAGTAAATATACTGCTTGTTTATTATTTTTTATACACCAATCATAAATTATTGCATTTAACATTGCCACTCTTCAGTGTAATTTGGTATGTTGGTTTCAAAACCATGTGCTTGTCACATTTTGTTCGATTACTATTAAATTTGTTTAAACCTTTTGTTTAAAACTTAAAAGACAAAAAATAATTACGTATCTTTAAAATAATAAAAAAATGATGTATCATGCATGTAAAAAAATTATTTTTTGAAGAGGATAATAAAGTTACTTCGAACCACATAAAATTTCATTATTTGACCTTCGTGTACACTGCAAATTTTTTTGAAGTTATACTTCTTATGCGACTTCTAACAAGGTTGCGTTAAACGTTTAATGCTTAATTTTTATTGGCCGGGAAATCACGTGGTAGGATCCAGTTTTCCCTCATTCATTTCCATTTTGTTTTGGTTCTCATTAGCATAAAAAATCATAAAAGTCATAAAAGTATTCGCGATCGCAACAAACTATAGGGGGCGTTGTTGTATGAGACTAATACCTGCGATTTCTATATGAACAGTCATTCAGTTACTCTAGAGACGTCGTTAATGTAGCACGTAGCATTGCAACGTTCCTTCTTTATTGTGGCTAATTAAATTTAAAAAAGAAAAATGCTTGATATTCTTTCTTANTTAATACAAATACAATTTCCAGGGCGAGACGATGAGGCAACCACAAGCACTTCCACTGGTTCAAGAGGTCCACGAGGGAAAAATGCGCAGTATTACCGTGATTACAGAGCACGGAAGCGAGCGGAACAGGAAAAAGAGTTGAATAGAACTAGTGATGTTTCTACGACTGCTGATTCTTCTACAATTAACGTCGCAGGCTGCGAAGTTTAATTTCTTCCGCTCGGAGGGACTCAACGCACTATTTTTTTTTTGTGTGTAATTTGACTTCATAAATAGCGGCAGCTACTTTAACAACAAGAACAGTTCTTTTCGTAGTGATGTTTGTTTACACCTTTTGATGTAAAGCAGCTTCCACCATTTCTAAAATTCAGTATCGTAAATATTTATAATAACAATAACATCTGCTGCACATAAGAGTAACCTGCAAATTACTTTGGGGGGGGCGGTAGCTCATTCCTGATTGGTTGCTGAAACATGGTATTTAGTTGCGTTTGAAACTGTTCCATCCATTCTCTATTTCAAGTAAATCAAATCTGCCAAGCATTAATTCACTTAAAAGATACATTCTATATTCTTTCGCAAAGATTCTTTCGCAAAAATTTCAATTCTTTCAATATTTCTTACTTAACACAACGACAGGCATGAAGCTATGTAGAACATAAACTAATTATACATCGAAGTTGCCAGGCATACAAAACAAAAATATATCATGGTTACAATAAGATACTTAAGCAAATAATAAATAAAAGACGTAGTTATATAAATAAAAGACATTAAGTAAAAGACGTAGAGAAGAAAGAATATTATTTCAATAAATTCGATGCGTGATACGGCACTCTATTTAATTATTTTCTGGAAACGCTTTCACTTTTCAAGATTCTATGGCCAGAAGTTCGATTTGGTATGAAGAAAAGGGATTATTTTAACTTTTAAACTTCTTCTTGGGGGCTAAAAAGGTGGCGAATTCAAAAAATGAACAGTAGTAACAAAAAGAAAGATTTTTTGGAGGGGGTTGAGGGAATAAATTTTATAAGAGCATTAAAAATGACATTTTATTTGCAATTTGTAACTTTTTTACATCCTTTTTACTTTTGACTTTTTAATATCTCTCAAAAAAAACTATTTAAATTTTTTTTTTTTAAATTTAATTTCTTTTCTCTAATTTAAAGTAACAGACACCTCTCCCACCAAAATAATTCTCTCCTCTATTAGCACTTTTTACGTTTTGGAACGTTTCTCTTCTCTTACACCACAGGTGAAAAATAACATTTTTGTTATTCGTTTTTCTTCGATTCGAATCAAATTCTTGGCCCTAATGTTATGGAAGCGTGATAAACAATAGGCGCAGAGGCATTTCCCAGTAAATTGCAGACAATTGGCAGAAATTTTGGATTATCTAAAATTATTTAAAAAAAATATGCTTTAAGACTGATTTAAGATAAAATTCTGTGTTTTGAGCTTGCATAGTAAGTAGACAGACAGAAAAGTATATTAATGGTGTAACAAATGGTTATATCAAAAGTTATTTTGCATGGTTCATTGTTATATGATGTTAAATAAATTGTCACAATAAAAAATAAAA